ATAAGATTGATTGGAGCCAGTGAAAAAGCAGGAAATAATGTAAATGACATTAAAAAAAAACATTCACAGAAGTAATGGAAGAAAACTTCCCAAACATGGAAAAATAATTTCACATACAGATAAATGACACATATAGAACTCCAGTTAGCCATGATGAAAAAAAAAAAAAAACCTACCCCAAGGCATATAGTAGGATGCCAGAAATTTCAGAAAACTCTTTCAAAATAGACATCTGAAGAAACACATGACCACAAAACTAGCACCCCCAAATGTTCTGAAAGACACTCTAGAAAGAGATAATGAAGACCACAACTGCATAAACCCCAACAGAATGAATCCACTAGGCAAGGGAAATAATTAAACAGGGGGGAAAGAAAGGGAACCAACAAGGAAAATAACATGCCAAGGATAAGTCAATACATATCAGCTATATCCATCAATGTAAATGATCTTAATTTACCAATCAAAAGAAACAGACTGGCAAAATGGATAAAGAAACAAGATCCAACAATACGCTGCATACAAGAAACACTTAAAAAGAAATTCATAGACTGAAAGTCAAAGGATGGAAAACAATATTTCATGTGACAAGAACCCATTAAAAAAGCAGGATTCTATTTGCAGTCAAAGTGGATTTCATGCAAGAATGATCAAGAGAGATAAAGAAGGTTACTACATCCTTGTTAAGGGAACAATCCAAGAGAAAGAGATGACAAACATAAATATATATGCACCAAATACCAGCACACACAATTATATAAAACAAATATTTTTTGGGGGGGTACTGGGGATCGAACTCAGGTCCTTGTGCTTGAAAGGCCGGCAGTTGAACCACTGAGCTGAATCCCCGGCCCCATAAAACAAATATTAATGGACATAAAAAAGTCAAATAAACATTAACACAATTGAATGGGTGACATCAAGACCCCGCTATCACAAATTGACAGATCAACTAGAGAAGAGAAAAACAAGAAATATCAGAACTGAACCAAAGTTTTGAACAATGGACTTAGTAGATATCTACAGAGTGTTCAATCCCACAACATCAGAATACACATTCTTCTTAGCTGGGCATTCTACAAAATAGATCACATGCTAGCTCATTGATCATGCATATGTAAGTGCAAAGGAATTGAAATTATCCCACACATATTATAAGACCTAGTACAATGAAATTGAAATGACTAGCAAAATAAACCAGAATAACTACATAAACACATGGAAATTAAATAACACGCTCCTGAATAATCAATGGGTCATAGATGAAATTAAAGAAGAAATGAGAGTTTCTACAATTGACAATAATGCCAATATGACATACCAGAACTTACTGAATACAATGAAAGCAGTCCTATGAGGGAAACTTATAGCAGTAAATACCCACATCAGAAAAATAGAACAAACTCAAATAAATACCCTAATGTAAAACCTCAAGCTTCTAGAAAAATAAGAGCAAGTCAAGCTCAAAGCTTGTATAAGGGAGAAAACTATAAAGATCAGAGCAGAAATCAATGCAATGGAGAGTAAGAAAACATTATAAAGAATCAATAAATATAGAGTTGGTTCATTGAAAGATGAAATAAAATAGACAAACCCTTAGCCAACCTTATTCAAAGGGAAATAAAAGATTCACATCCATGCAATTAGTAATTAAAAGTATGAAATCACAAGGAATCCTGCAGAAATCCAGGATATCATTAATACCTACTTTGAGAACTTGTATTTTAATAATATGTAAAATGCAGAAGAAATTCACAGAATCCAAATACATACAAATTACTAAAGCTGAATCAGGAAGATATAAAAAATAATAGTAGTCAATGAAATTGAAAATGTAATTAAAAACCTACCATAAATAAAGTCCCAGGTCCTGGTGCATTCACTGCTGAATTCTACAAAAAATTTAGGGAAGATCTAGTGTCACTACTCCTCAAACTCTTTAATGAACTATAAAGGGAAGTAATACTCCCAAATTATTCCTGTAAGCAAGCATTACCCTGATACCAAAGCCAGAGAAAAATTCAATCAAAAAAGAGATTTTCTGGCCAATCTCCCTAATGAATATAGATGCAAAATTCTTCAATAAGATACTGGCAAACAGAATGCAGCAAATCATCAAAAAGATTATACAGCATGACCAAGTAGGATTCATCCCAGGGATGCAAGGATGGTTCAATATATGCAAATCAATAAAGGTAACACATCATATTAACAGAGCCAAGGATAAAAACCACATGATCTCTCAACAGATTTAGAAAAAACATGCATCAAAGTGCAACAATCATTCATGATAAAACCCTTCAGAAAATTGGAATAGATGGTCTTTATCTCAATCTGATAAAAGCTATCTATGACAGACCAATAGCCAACATCATACTAAATGGTCAAAGACTGAACACTTTCACTCTTAAATCAGGAACAAGACAAGGGTGTCCACTATCACCACTCTTATTCAATATAGTTCTGGAAATATTAGCCAGAGCAACAAGAGAAAGAAATAAAAGCAATAAGTATAGGAAAGAAAGTTAAATTGTCATTATTTGATGAATGACATGATACTTTACATAAAGACCCTAAAACCTCCACTAGAAGACATCTAGATTTAATAACCAAATTCAGTAGCATAGCTGGATACAAAGCAAATGCTCAGCAATCAGTAACATTCCTATGAACACATAACAAACTCACTGAGAGAGAAATTAAGGCCACCACAGCTTTCACAATAGCATAAAAAACAACAACAACTTAGGAATCAATCTAATGAACAAAGTAAAAGATCTTTACATTGAAAACTACAGAATTGTGAAAAATGAGATGAAAGAGGGTATCAGAAAATGGGAAGATATCCTTTCCTCTTGGGTAGGAAGATATACAGTGAAAATAGCCATACTCCCAAAATTGTTATTCAGATTTAATGCAATCCCAATCAAAATAGCAATATTATAAGGCACAAAATTAGAAAAGACAATCTTAAAATTCATCTGGAACCAGAAGAGATCTAGAATATCAAAAGAAATTCTGGGTAAGAAAAGCAAGGCAGGGGGCATCACAATCCCTGACTTGAAGTCATACCACAAAACTACAGTGCTGAAAGCTGCACTGTAGTGGCAAAAAGCAAATCCAAGGATCAATGGAACAGGCTAGAAGATGTGGAAACAACTCCAAACACACAGCCACTTTACCTTTGACAAAGGGGTCAAATACCTTCATTGAAAGAAAGATAGCCTCTTAGATAAATGGTGCTTGAACAACTGGCTTTCCACATGCCAAAGACTAAAATTAGACCAATGTCTCACAGCATACTAAACTAAAATTGAAATGGATCAAAGATCTAAATACTAAAACAAAAATATTAAATTTGCTGGAAGATAGAATAGATATCTATTGAAGACATAAGGTATAGGCAAAGACTTTATGAACAAAACCCCAATTACATAGGATATGTCACAAAGAATCAACAACTGGGATCTCATCCTATTAGAAAGCTTTTGCACAGCAAAATAAACCACTAACGGTATGAACAGACAGCCCACAGAGTGGGATAAAATTTATCCAGCTGTTTTCTGACAGAGGACTAATATCTACAATATATAAAGAATTAAAAAAGAAGTCAGACCCAATATAAAGACCCAATTCAAAAATGGGCACTTGAAATGAGTAGACACTTCTTAGGTGAAGAAATAGAAATGGCAAGTAAATATATGAAAAAGTGTTCAAAATCGCTGGTCAGTGGAGAGAAGTGAATTAAAATAATGCGGAGATACTCCACAAAGAATGGCTGTTATCAAGTAACCAACCAATACCAACTGCTGGTGGGATTGGGGCAAAAGGAATCCTTCACCACTCTTGATGGGAATGTGGACTGGTGCAACCACTGTGGAAATCGGTGTGGAGATTCCTCAAAAAATTCAAACTAGAAGTTTCATTTGACCCAGCTATTCCCTTTCTTGTTATTTTCCAAAAAGAATTAAAAGCATGATACCACAGCAATGTATGGATACCGGAGTTTATAGCAGCACAGTTTATAATAGCTAAACCTTGGAGATCCCCTAAATGTTCACCAACCAATGCTAAAGAAGATGTGGTTTTTAGATAAAGTGGACTGCTACTTTGCCACAAAGAAGGATAAACTTGAGGCATTTCTAGGTAAATGGATGCACCATGAGACCATGTGCTTAAGTGAAATAAATTGGACACACGTGTTCAAATATCACATATTTTCTTTGGTGTGAAGAATGGAAAACATAAATAGGGGCTGAAGTGTGTAATAGATACTCTGAAATAGGAAGAAAAATTTCAAATGGGAAGGGGAATTAGGAAGGGGGTAGGATGAAAAGAAGGAAGGGAAAAGGAGAAAAAGAGACTAGAAGAAAAACAGAAATCATGCTTTTGTAAGTAAAGAAGGGAAGAGGGGTTAAAAAGAAAGGAGGGAAAGGGAAACAAAGAAAAATCAAGATATATCGTGTACAGGTACAAATTCAATATGGTAGATGTTATTATGTATATCTAAAATGTATCAATAAAATTAATTTTTTTAAAAAAGGCTCTTTGTAGAGAGTAATTTAAAAAATATTTAGAAATGCAGCTACTGGAATCTGTGTTTGTTGTTGTTATTGTTTTTTGAGACAGGGTCTCACTATATAGTTGAGACTGACCTGGAAATCACTACGTAGCCCAAGCTGGTCTCAAACTTGCAGTGATCCCCTGCCTCAGCCTCCCAAGTGCTGGGATTACAGGTGTGCACCACCATGCCAGGCCAGCTATTGGAATCTGAATGTAGCACGGTGCAGAGACTTTGCCCGTCACTAGTGTATCCCCTAGGTGACCCCGTGTAGCATATGGCAGAGTAGTTGATCTTTATTAACTAATCTTTTTTAGATAACCAGTTTATTAATTAGCTATTATTTTCGGAGTGTGTCTGTGATTCACTGAGCCAGATATGGTTCTGAGACTTCGCTCTTTCCTCTTTAGAAGCCAGTCCTGATCAAAATGCCACTCACCAGTTTTTCATTCTTGGTGATGATACTCATTTTGTACCTGCTCCCTCTCATGGCTCTCTCCTGGAATAGCTCAAAGTGGAGTGCTGATGCAGACATTTAAAATCTTCAACCTAATGATTATTGAGGGAGCTCAGAGTTTTGATGAAATGCTGTCCTGAAAAGAAACGTATAGAGAGGTTACCTTAGTCTCCAATTGTCTTTCTTTTGGAAAGCAGTGGTTTTTAAAGGAGGGACTAAGGGGCGGCAATTCTGCCAGAAAGGAGCCGGTTGTTTCTTTCAGATTTCATTTTCACATGGCAGTGAGACACTGAGTTAAATTTCAACGGCCAGCTCATAACTTTAACTTAGTTTACTTTTGTTTTCCAGTGGGCGTGCACGACGTGTTGGGAAGGTGGTAAAGGAAATTTCCCTGAGTGTGAAGTACTATCCCATCTGGCTACCCTTCAGTGCAGTCCCCGCTTGTAGGAATCTCCCTTATGTGTGGTAACAATTATGATTATGTGGCTAGAGGCACTGCCACTGTCTCCACTTTACAGAGGAACAAAACTGAGGCTCACAAGTTTGACTGGGAGGAACATTTAGTGAGTGTCAAGCCAGGATGCTACCCTTGGTCTTTTTTGTTGCAAAGTCCGTGTGCTGCTCACCACATTCTTCATTCTCTAAGAGTATTCATGGAATGTAGAGATGGTGAGGCTGTAATCTAGTTAACCGACTTAGAATTTCTTGCTTCTATAAAGTATTTGTAAATAGGGAAGGGAGGAGGGGGTGAAGGGAGGGCAGGGACAAGGGGAAAAAATGAGAACCAAGACCTGTCATGTAAAGGTACAAGATCCCAACAATGAATGTAACTGTACTGTGTACCTAAAAAATAGCAATAAACTCAATGAGAAAAAAAAAAAAAAAAGAATTTCTTGCTTCTGTGCAAAGCTATTTTCAGGCTGCAGGACTTTATTTAAGATGCCTAGAACACCATGGTCCGGAGTTTTAAGAGTAGAGTGAGGGAGGCCTAAAAGAAGAGTCCTACTTCAAATATTTCTTTATCCTGATTCTCTTGGCATTTGAGGCTGGATAGTAGTCTTTAAATGACAATAAACATGAGCAGAAACAGTGTTTTTTTAATTATTGTTCATCCATTTCTGTTAGGGTCCTGTAGGCCATCTTAGCTCCTGGAGGGAATAATTTTAAACAGATCAATCTCAAAAGATGAAATCTTCTCTAGTGTGTGAATGGTGGGAAACCCCACTATTACTGGTGCCTGGAGGGGACCCCGCTCATTGATGCTGAGTATGGCCACATCATTTGTAGCTTAAAATACAACTTTCTACAGGAAGTCATTTGTTGTTCACTCTTTCAGTTTCAGTGGTATGGGATAGAATAGGTGGGCGGAGATGAAATTACATTTGTGAAGCTTAAAATATAGCCAGGGAAGCATACACACTGGCTGGGTATTCACAGATTTCAGCCCTGACCTTTCAGCCTTGTGTGTCCTTTTTCACACAGTATTCTGGATCAGTCTGAGCTTGATTAAGAAAATGGAGCTGGTCTAAGTATTCTGGGAATGAAAGACCCTGATCTAGACTTATGGCTTAGGTGAGTATTACAAGAGATGGAGTTGCAAAGGTCCAGGGGTCACTGTAGAACAACAGGGAAGCTGCAGCCACAAGGTTTGGGAAGTAGACACTGAAGTCCTCACAACCAAAAGCTTCCAAGAAACACGCAGTAGTTTTCAAATGTTTCTGAAACAACTCTGTCCAGCTGGCTTAGCCTCCAGGAACATAATGGGTGATTCACAGGGCTGGCTAAGATGGTACTATGGATCTCACATGTGCTCACAGAGCGTGGCCTCTGCTCCTGGTCCACGGTGTTGGTTTCACTGGCAAACTGACTTGGAACCTCACAGAGCAAGGAATTCTGGGAACTGTAGTTTCCTAAAACAGTGTTACAAGCAGATATGATGTTGGTCTGGGTGGTCTTCTTGCACTCTTTTTAGTGCCACTTTTACAGGCAAACGTGACATATAGGCAACAGGTCCACGAGTATCCATTTCACATTTCACTCTTCTGTTGCCGATGCTGTGGCTTTCACTGAAAACTCTTGTTGGTTTGCTTCTTCTTAATCCCACAACCAGGAGGTCTGTTTCTACTTTCCTTGGTTCTTGCTTATCTCCTAGCTACGGGCTAATATGCTAAGTAGTTACTCATGGGACACAATCTCAGGGACCATCGTTTTCTTCTAGGAGAATGACCAGTTCATTGGATAGCTCATAACACTGGTCACATGGCAGGTCCTCCGGAAAGGTCAGTTCCTTTCTTGATTATGATAGTTGGTGTTTTTGTCCACCTGTTCTCCACTCTCCTGTGGGCTACAGCAAATCCATGCACTTTGGGAACAACCTTTCTCCCTCTCCTGTTGCATACTCATGTGCCAGATGGTTTGGATGGTTTGACCTGTTTTGCTCCTTTTCTATCCACCCCTGCACTTGTTTCAGGGGAGCATGAATGACCTGCACTTGTTTTCTATCACTCTGGATTTAGTATATGGCTGAGAGAGGAACACAAAATTCAGATAAACCTGTTGGGGGTCACACCCAGTAGTTGGGTGGTAACTGTGGAAAAGGGGAGCTCCTTTTAGCAGGGAGAGTGTGTAGAATGTAAAGCTAGAGGAGGTTGAGGCCCCTGTGTCTTCAAGAGTAGAGTCTGTCTGAAATGAAGGCATCACCCAGAAAGCAGAGCCTGGGCAAGGGGAAAGAATGCTGATAAATTTGTTGGTCTCTAGTTTCAGTGGAGTCTAAGGCTTCTGGACAATGATGCTCAAATTAGATTCATTGTTTCTTTTTTGTTTTGTTTTGTTTTTAGAAATCTAATTGTGATTTTATTTTTTATTCCTTCTCTTTTAATTAGTACATATCTCCAGTACATAATAAACACAATCATCATGGTAAGTGGTAGATGTACCTATTGCATCTTGGTCATTTTGATTTTCCCTTCTGCTCCCCTTTCTCCAGTCTCCTCCCACCCCACTTTGTGACACTCAAATCCCAGAGATTCTGAAACAATAAGCAACACATTCTGAGAAAGCTAAAGGGAGGGATTTAGATCAAGAGTAATATACCTACAAGCTGCCTCAGAACAAAAGGGTTGAGGTGTGCTTAGAAGCTGTTTAGACCCAGAGGACCAGAAACATGGATCTCTCTGCTCTTGAATCTTTTCAGAATTTTCCAAGAGTCTCTGCCTAAAACCTTTAGCTACCTCTTAGGTCTGTTTTATTTTTCTTCTTCTTCTTCTTTTTATTGAGTTTATTGGTACAATCCAGGTCTATAATACAGTTACATTCATTACTGGGATCCTGTACCTTCAAGTGACAGGTCTTAGTTCTCATTTTTTTCCCCTTGTCCCTGCCCTCCCTTCACCCCCTCCTCCCCTCCCCATTTACAAACACTTTATTTCCATTTTTTCATTTTCTCATATTTTTTCTTTTCCCTTATTTCCTTTCCCTACCCTTCCCACTTTCCCTACACCTTTAGCCCTTTTCTTCCTATTTCACACTCTTAATTATCCCATTAGGATCTTGTGTACTATTATACTTTTTCACACCAGAGAAACTATTCAGTATTTACACATGTGTGAGTTATTTATTTCACTTAGGAGCATATCCTCAATATGTATCCATTTTCCTATGAATGACTCTAATTTCTCATTCTTTATGGCTGAGTAGTATTCCATTTTACAGAAAAACCACATCTTCTTTAACCAGTTTCCAACAGATGGGCAGATGGGCTGTTTCCAAGTTTTAGCTACTACAAACTGTACCACTATAAACATTGGTGTGCATATATCTCTGTGGTATGATTCTTTTAAATCTTTTGGAAAGATACCCAGTAGAGGGATGGCTGGGTCAAATGGAACCTCTACTCCCAGCTCTTTGAGGTATCTCCATATTGATTTCCATAGTGGTTGCACCAGTCTGCACTCCCACCAACAGTGGAGAAGGGTTCCTTTCCCCCCACAACCCCACTAACATTTGTTATTGCGTGATTTCTTTTTTTTTTCAGCTTTAATTGAGTTTATTGGTACATTTTAGGGATACAGTACAGTTACATTTATTGTTGGGATCTTGTACCTCTACATGACAAGTCTTGATTCTCATTTTTTCCTCTTACCTCTGCCCTCCCTTCATCCCCTCCTCCCCTCCCCATCTACAAACACTTTATTTTCATCTTTTCATTCTCTCACATTTTTTTCTTTTCCCTTTTTACTCTTCCCCTACCCATCACACCTTCCCTACACCTTTAGCTCCTTTCTTCCCATTTTGAGTGATTTCTTGATAGCAGCCATTCTTTGTGGGGTGAGGTGGAATCTCACTCAGTGTTGTTTTCATCTGCATCTCTCGAATGACCAGTGATGTGGAACATTTTTTCATATATTTACTTACTGCTTTTACCTCTTTGTCTGAGACATGTCTGTTCATTTCAGATGCCCATTTTTGAATTAGGTCTTTATATTTGGGGGGGCTGATTGTTTTGAGTTCTTTATATATTCTAGATAATAGTCCTTTGTCTGAGGAGCAGCTGGTAAAAATTTTTTCCGACATTGTAGGTTGTCTCTTAGTTCTGTTGATGGTTTCTTTTGCAGTGCAGAAGCTTTTCAATAAGATGAGATTCCAGTTTTTAATTCTTTCTGCTAGTTCCCATGCTACTGAGGACTTGTTCATAAAGGTCTGTTTTAACAAAGCTTTTTTTTTAACCTCACGTCTTGGAATTTGTAAGAAGCAAAACACTGTATTCAATAGTTGGCTCTAGTAATTAACAGTACAAGAATATGCCCAGAATGACTCTACATCTAGGAAGATAGCACTGTGCATTCTCTATGTTTAAATAGCTTTTATGTGATTAGAAATATGAATCCTTACTAATGTTTTTTCATATCATTTCAAGCAAAGTGTTTTTAATTATGGGACTATAGTAGGCTTAATGATTTTAACTGTCAGTAGAATTGTCATTTACTGTAGTGTTTGTATTAAAAATTTCATATCAAATAACCAGCCTATGAAGATCGTTTTGAATACAGTTCCCTGGTATTTGGGAACTACTTCTTTTTCTGGTTTGACATTTGTTATCACAGAGGACTATTAATCTATGCACAGTATGCACTAAATAATTTAAGTTCAATTGTTGAGGATAACTGGAGAAAAGTCAACATGAGCAGGCCTTTGAGGTGTGATTATAGAAGTCCAGTGTCTGGTTCAGGAGGGATGATCCTTCTGTGCTGGTCAGACCACACAGAGCAGCTGGGGTGTGGTCAACTGCAGGGTCAGATCTTAAGTAGGAGCTCTGCTGTGGAGCCCAATTCTAAGGATACTGGTAAATTGCAGTAGTCTGGAGAAGACTGGTAGGACATTGGGTCACAAGAAATCCTAAAAGATAGCAGAAGGATCCAAGGATGGTTAGTGTGGACACGAGTCATCGAGTGGATGACGAGGCCTCTTCCTTTGGGTGACCATGAGGGCAGAATAAAGTCTGTGCATAGAAGGGGGAAGAAGACAGAGTGTAGAGATCTGACATGGTCACACTGGAGGGGGTCTGCCTGGCTGGACCTTCAAGAGACTCAGCTGGAAGACCAATTAAGAGCTCCAGGTCTGGTGTTAGATACTTTGCTCTGTATCATGCTTAACAGATGTGTGACCCTGAGAAAATTCCTCACTTATAAATCAAGACAGTGAAAGTTCTACCATACTGAGATGTTTATGGGGTAACTAAGGTGAATGCAAAAGATTTCAAGAGCAGAGCATGCAGTAAGCCCAGGGAACTGTCCTCCGATGGCCCAGGCAGAGGAAGCACAAATAGCCAAATAATCATTTGTTAACTAAATGAGTGAATTGATAAAGAAAAGAAATGAATGGATCACCGCTAAGATCCCATCTTCTCCTAAAGTCTGGTGTCTCATTGAAAATAGCTTTCTCTTTGGTATAGATCTACTCTATTTTTATGGCCTTAAATGTATGTATACCAAAGTTAAAAAAGCACAACAACAAAACAAACAAAAAACACCCAGGACCTCATTCACTGCTGTCATTTTCCTTGATGTTCTTTTCCCAGATACTTGTTCACATAGTTAAATCAAACTAAGCACAGATTTTGTATACCATGTAAGTTTTTTATTTTTGTCTCAACATTGCATGCTAATTGATTGCTTTTTGAGATGCTTTGCAGCATGTGCTCATTTACCACTTCAATCCTGTACACTCCTGAGCACCCGCACTGTGTGGAGGGCTAGAAATACAGAGGAATAGAGGCCATCTTTGTCCTCCATTTGCCAACACAGGTGGTTGATGCTGAGTTTTTAAGAGTCAATAACTGAATGTTAAACAATTACAAACCCCTGTCGTTACCATTTCATTGAAACTCTCTCTCCAAATGTGTGTAATCAATAGTTAACATGTGTCTCTTTTTTTCTTTGGACTAGAAAATCACCCCCAAATAACTAGTTCCTTTGCCTCTAACAGTGCTTGCCTCTCCCCCTGGAACCACCCAGATTGCTAGGAGCTGCCAACGCACACACTGAGCTACTAGACATGTTCCCAGACGATGCTTAATTAAATCCTTTAATTATTAGCCACTCACTACATTTGCATCATTCCCTAGTGCTTAGCACCAGAATCACTTAGGGGAAGAAGCCAGCCGCCTATCTGCTCAAATTATTGACTCAATTAGAGTTTTATCAGATTCAGGAAAGTTGGAATTCTGGAAATATTCCTTTAAAAAGAGGGGGTGGGGGGCTCACTAGTGTTTAGCTTTGTATTAGGCAAATTCTTAAACCTTGAAAATGCCCTCGGTCCAAACTGATAAGATTTCAGATTAGAC